GCTCTTCTTCTCTGCTTCATATCAGTGTCAGGTGAATGCAGTCAGACAGCAGAGAGGCAGAGGAAGCTGCATCAGCTGCTGCACTTCTACTATCAGTCCACTAGATGGAGACATGGAGCAACATTTACATTCACTGGTTCAACCTGCACTTCTACTATCAGTCCACTAGCTGGAGAGATGGAGCAGCATTTACATTCACTGATTCAACCTGAACAACAGGAAGGATTTTAGTTCATTATTAATCTCTACAAATGATTAATTAATTAATCATTTGTAGAGATTGGATTATATTCTACTTCAAAGATTATATAGATATTTTACTTTGAAAGGAAGCAACAAGTTGTTATTTTTGACGTTGATGGTGGAGACCAGAGTTTGATCACAGGAAATAAAAACATGAAGCAGATTTTTCAGAGAAGAAATCATAGAAACATCGTCCTTTTATCAAGTTGTTTGATTCCAGTTCATCAGTAATATAATTCTGACCTTCAATAAGCAGAGATGAAACTTTGAGCTGAAATAATCAGTGAATCTTTTCTCCAAACTTTAGAGAGCAGAAAGAAAAAGGAAAGTTCCTGAAGACAAAGTTCAAGTAAACAAATCAAACTTACAATTTGTTCAAACGATCAAAAGAGTCGAAGAAAAACATCTGAACAACAAATAAAGATCCAACAACCTGATCAGAGCCGCACTTTAACAGTGTCATTCAAACTGAAAGTAAATGTGACGGATGTTGCGTAACTGATGATGTCACAGCTCACCTGAGTTGTAGTTTTTTCTTTCAGAGCAGCAGAACCAGGAAGTAGAAGGTCTGCAGTGAAATCAGAGGCAGGTTGATAAAATCTTCATGAGGATTTACTTTGTTTAGACCAGTGTTTCTCAACCGTTTTGGGCCAGTGCCCCCCAGCCTTTATCCAGGTCCCTCACCGCCCCCCACCAAAGAATTTGTAGGCTACTTTGCACTGACCATTATTTTATCATTAATATTACTGTCACTATTGTAGATGTTTTGATTTTTATGCTTGTTTCTCTACTTATCATCAAAAATAATTTCCCAGAGAACAAAAAAGCCATGGGAATACACATTATTTTCACAGGTGTCTATGAAAAATGCAATGAACATTCAGGTTAAAATCTGTAGGCCTTACAGCAGCCAATCAGAGTGGAAAAAATATTCTTATTCTGTGCCAATTTCTAGTTGTTAAAGTTGTTCATTCAAGTAAATGATCTGGCTGCAATCAGTGTATTCAGACAGGGTTCATAAACAAAACTTTAAAGATTATCACAGCCGAGCGGCACAGATGTTTTTAGCAACCCTCCAATTTTAGAAAGTGGCAACAACAAGCAGGCTTATAAACACTATTATGTGACTATCATGGCTAATTAAACGTATTAAGCACA